TTCTGCCCCCTTCTAGATGAACAAGCTTTAATTGAAGACCTTTGCGTGGCACATATAGTGTAGAAAACTGTCACTTGAAGACATGTTCCAATGTGGTTTGGGATTCTTCCCGCTCAGAACTGCATTGACAGGGATTATTATTGTGGGTAGGTGGGAAAAGTCACTGGAATGGAACATGGTCTCAGTATAATCGTCTCCTGGTGCCTCAGAAGTTAAAAGTGGGGTGAGGGGGTGGAAAATAAATCAAGGTAAAGCCAAGACTTTGCTTTGTGGTCCCCAAGTGCTCTCTTACAATGAATGGTTTAATTCCTCTCCTGCTAACCACTTACTGTGAATTCCATAGGTTTTGCAGGGTGGCTATTGGACTATCAGTTAATTCCTGTATATATACTGAAGTTCTTCTTCTTGTCACTCTGAGCTGTGAGAATTGCATTTCATTCTTCTCCCTTCTTGGCATGCCATTCTCTAGAAGAGCCCTCTAGAGCCAGTCATTAGTGGTTGTAGCTGCAATCACCCCCCATGCCCCATTTTCCCCCTCTCTCCACAATTCTGTGGCATTCCCACCACTGCCGGCCTGAGAATGAGAATACCAAACTTGGGATTCAACCCACACTTCCAGTAGAGTCACTTGCACCGGATCCAGCTGGAATGCCTGTTTTTTGGCCGACGAACAGATTTGCTTCAGCCAACTAGAACACTGTTCAGTGGAGTATCCTGTCCTCTTCTGAACAGTCATTTGAAGTTTAACTGATCAGTAAGTGGCCATCCATCTGCTGATTCGAGGCCACAGATTCCACTTGGTGTAATTATATGTTTGCTTTGGTTTACTATTTATAGCCAAAGATCATGCTGTTGCGGGACAGACTTTGCAGAGCCCAGGGAGAACTTCCAGTGGGACAGGAGACCCCAAAGTCCCCGTATGAGAGAGAACCCATGCCCAAGGGAAGAGCTGGACCTGTGGCTGGACAAATGCAGATGCCCCAAGGCCCAGCCCAGCAGTATTATCAGCAGGTAAATGATTTACAGCAGTCAAGCTGAAGCAGTGCTTCCACTGCGTGGGGTTTGAAGATGATGGCTTGTGCACTTTGTTTCCTTTCATGAATCCGAAGTGTGTGTGATGTACCTACAAGCCCTTTGGACAGCAATTCCTTTGTGCTTTCTTGCCATCTGCGTAGATGCCTCCTTTACTCTGCTTTTGGAAACACCTCTCACATATCTTATCAAGCAGCCTGGGGTTGGAGATATTTTTTTTCCTTTAATTTCAAATGTATTTCAGTGCAAAGCACTATAGCTTCGGGGATTTTTTTATTTTTATTTTCCCCTCCGACATGCAGCCTTTGAGATGCAGTCATGTCATGCGGTAACCATCTCTTCAGCTAATGTCGGGCTGGCTATTCACTCTGCTCTGTAATCGGCCAGACAAATTGCTGCACAGCTGCAATACCAAACTCATGACAGGTGATGCCGATTCCGCTGGCCCATGCTGTGAGTCCAGTGATGGACAGATTGGGTGGCCAGTACAGCCTCATGCTTAAAATCTCTTCCCCGGGGTGTGGGGAAGAGGCAGGTGGAGTAGGAGCTGTGTATGGAGAACATATGCACCCTGGACAGGGTAGAGGTGCTGGTGAAGGAGGCCTGGAAGACCAGAGCATGAGATGTGCTGGAAGAATGAGTGAGTGAGTCTGGGGTAGAGGAGGAAGTTGTTTGGGGGGCGTTGGGTGGGAAGGCAAATGAGATATAAAGGAGGTTGGGGACCTTTGTGCTAGATTGGACTCAAGGCTGTACCAAATCAGACTACATGGTAGAATGGGGGGAAACAGGTTTGCCATTACTGCCATGGGATGGTGTGAGAC